GACTCTGGGTGTCAAGTGCCAGGTGAGCTAGGACTCTGTGGTGACTGGCCTGCAGTGGCCTGCAGGGAACCCGGGGTTCCCTATCCCAATGGCAGTGGGGGGGGGTGCTAGGGCTGGAAGGGGGGGCAGGGAGGGGAGTCCATCCTCTGCTCCCCTAAGCCTCTGTCAACTTGCGGGGGGCAGCTCGCCTGGCTCCCACAGGTGGAGGCTAAGCACTGTGGGGCGGGAGGAAGGCCTGTTTCGGCAGCTGTTTCCACCTTCCTGCAGTGATGGGGGGACAGGCTTTGGTTCTCACAGGGTTTCCAGGATTAATCCTTCAGGAAGGAAGCAAAGCAGCCAGGAGGAGGCTGTACTGGCCTGCCTACAGCAGGGAGATGGCGGGAATGGCCTCTGGCTGGACCCATGACCCGGAAGTCTGGGCCCACTCCTCCGCTGACCTTCCCTGGTGCAGCCCCATCCCACCCTCTGCAGTCCCTGAAACCTCCACCCCAGCCTGTGAGGACTGGTGGGGGTGGAGGGTGTGGCCCCCAGACGTGGGCCACCAGCCCTGACCAGCAGATCTCCCATTCCTCATCCATGCAGCACAGGTCCCAGCACCCACAGACGGGCAGAGAGGGCACAGGCCCCACCAGGATACGAGGCCAGTGGAGACAGACAGGGAGAGGGGAGGACAGTTTCTAAACAACTTTTGTTTCTATTTCCAATCTGCTGGGGAGAATGGAGGCTGGCCTCTTCTCTGGGTGGGGAGCAAGAGGGCAGGGTGGGGTCTGGAAAAAGCCCAGAGCTGTTTCCGGCAGCTCAGTCCTGCGCAAGGGAAGCGACAGCATCAAAGCCCGAGGGGATCCCAGCAAAGCCCACCCCCAGGCTGCCCCAGCGAATGCACACTAAGGCACGGGAGCCCAGGCGAGGTCAAAGCTGCACAAGCCCAGTCATGTGCTGACTCCCTGCCAGGGACCCCCAGGTGGGGAGAGGACAGCACAGTGGGAGTCACGCCCCACCGGGGCAGACCCCCTGCCCAGCTTCAGGAGGGAAGGAGAGAGGGGGCAGCCTCCAGCCTGGCCTGCCTCCTCTGGCCAACCTGCCTGGGGAGGGGCTGGGGAGGGCACGGGTGGGTCTGGAGGCGGGTGAGAACCTACCGTCTAGACGGGAAACAAGGGGAACGTGAACAGGGAGAGGCCACTGCCTGCTTGGCAGGGAGGAATGTGGGGGAGTAGGGCAGGCTCTGAGGAAGCAGGGGCTGCAGAAGCTACGTGCCAGAGGCAGAGGGAGCCAGCCCCAGCCCTGAGGGAGGCCGTCCAGAAACCTCCCCCTGGACATCTACCTGCCCCGCACTACGGACAGCCAGTCCTGGCCTGGGGGTGTCCATAGCCTGCAGGGCCTGCAACCACGCCGCAGGCCGGGACCCAGCGCCTCTCCAGCTTGAGCTGTAGGACTGCCCTCCTGAAGGCCCTGGACAGCTGGCCTAGCAGGGAGGAATCAGGCCGGCCAGGCTGAGCTGCAGAGAATGGCCGCCAGGACCCCTGGCTGCAGGGCTGGGCAGGGCTGGGCTGGGCCAGCGCCAGACTTACTCCGACCCTGTCCCTGTGCCAGGCCCCTGTCCCTTTGCCAGGCCCCAGCAAGGGCAGACAACACTTCCTTTCTCTGCTCCTGGCTCCTAGTGGGGAGGGAAGGGCCCTAGGCCGCCCTGCCGGCCTTCAGCCAGGCCTGTGTCCCTCCTGGGGGCTTCAGGGGAGGCCCCAGGAGCAGTCTTCGTGAGGTGGGGGTGGGGAGGGTGGTGGGAGTGTGTGGGCAATGCCCAGACCAGGACGAGGTGGCTGCAGGTTGGAGGAGATGCTGGCTCAGCTGCCAGCCCGGGCAGGCTCACGGCGCGTGGGCGGCTGGCACTGGAGGAGAAGAAGCCACTTCTCTGACAAAGCAGGGGGCGGGGGTCTCCTTCCGGAAGAGGCCGCCTGGAGCAACAGGCCTCCCTCAGCCTGGAGCAACAGGCCTCCCTCACCCAAAGGTGGCGCAGAGGGAGGGACACATACCTGTCTCAGTTATGTCAGGAATGCAGCTCCTGGGGCAGAGGGAGGAAGAGCCTTCCTGGGGGCTGGAGGCTGGGGAAGGGGCCTGACCCGGGGCGGAGCCGGGAAGACCCACCATGGAAGACCCTGGGGGAGAAACTGAGGAAGGTGAGTCCCAGTGGAGCTGGGGGCCAGGTGTGCGGCCCAGCAGCAGGTGCCCAGGCAGGGATGTGGAGGGGGCAGGCCAAGGGTGACACCCCAGGACGTGGGCCTGGGAGGACATGCCCCCCACCTTGGCTGCTCTGGGCATTGTAGGGGGTAGAGGTGTGCCAAGGACAGGGATTCCCTGCACAAAGTGGGACCTCCACAGATTAGTGGCTGCTGGACTTCATCCTGGGCCCTGTGGGGTCCCTGGGAGCAGAATGGGGTCAGAGTCAGAAGGGGAGGGGTCAGCTTAGCTCAAGCCCTGTCTATCTGTCCCGCTCATTATGGTGAGGCCTTGGCTCCCAGGGAGCCTGGGGTAGAGTCCTGGGGTGGGGCCCTGGGGTGGGAGCCTGGGGAGGGGCCCTGGGATGCCAGCCTGGGGTGGGGTCCTGGAGTGGGGTCCTGGGGTGGGAGCCTGGGGTGGGGTCCTGGGATGCCAGCCTGGGGTGGGGTCCTGGAGTGGGGTCCTGGGGTGGGTCCTGGGGTAGGGTCCTGGGGTAGAGTCCTGGGATGGGAGCCTAGGGTGGGGTCCTGGGATGCCAGCCTGGGGTGGGGTCCTGGAGTGGGAGCCTGGGGGGGGGTCCTGCGGTGGGAGCCTGGGGTGGGGTCCTGGGGTGGGGCCCTGGGGTGGAGTCCGAGGTCCTTATCTCCCACAGAACAGGAGGCCGACCCTCCTCCCACCCCACACAGTTTCGGGGAGGTGGGCCCAGGACCTTCCTCCCCAAGCCTGGCCCCAGCTCCAGGGGCCCTTGTTCCTCAGGCCTCGGGGAGCCTCAGAAGGGAAGTACCCCGTCTCACCCTGGGCTCCTGGGATGCATCAACCCTGTCCTAGTGCCCCGCCCTCCCAGCCCACCCCATGGCATCCTGGTCTGCTTCCACAGCAGAGACCCACATCCCCCGCTCCAAACCTCCACTGGAGTCTAAGCTCCTCACTCCAGGCCGCTCCCCTCCTGGGGGCTCCCCTCCACCCCAGCACCACCTTCGAGGCCTCAAGTCAGTCATGGCGACTTCCTTTCCCTTCATCTCTGTGAACCGCTTTCTCCGAGACCCTCCTCCCTGGTGCGCCCACCCAGAAGGTGGCCTCGGCCCCTCCTGGGTGCTCACCCCATTGCTGCACGCTGGCCTCTGGGTCCCAGCGCGCCCCCTCAGCTGGAGCTTGGGTCCCAGACTGGTCCCTGAGTGCTGGCCGCCAGGGCAGGTGGCACACAGTAGGTCAAGTGTCATCCAGTCCTGGCTGGGGGGCTCTCCCTGTGGACCCTCTTCTCCCTCTGTTCCTCTGCCCAGCCTGACAGACCCAGAGCCAGGGCCTGGTGGGTGGAGTGGGCTTGGACAAGATGCCAAACCTTGTTCTGCCTGGGGTGGGCCTCCCAGCACATGCCCTCTGACCCTCGGCGGACCCGCCCAGCTGTGGAGTTAATGATTCGCCCTCTTGGTCTGGCAGGCACAGGGGCCTTTTGCACCCTGACCCCTGCTCTCCAGCCTCTCCTTAGCCTTCCCCTCATTCCACAGCCTGCCCGTCTCTATGCCACCCTTCCATCTTTCCCCCAGACCACAAGCTTCCACAGCAGGGCCTGGGTCTGAGTCCTCGCCTGGCAGGTGGGCCCGGCGGGGGCCCCTCAGCTGAGCCAGTGCTGAAAAGGGACCAAGGACACAGCCCTGCTGGCTTCTCTGAGGGGTGCTGTGGCAGAGACCCTAGAGGGAGGCTGATCGCAGGCTGGGCAGATGCCACGGGGCTCTGCACTCAAGTCCTGCCCTCCCCTGCAGAGTCCTCCCCCGGCCAGATGAGTCCACCAGTCGGACCCCACAAAAGCCAGGCCAGCATCACAGCAGCATGTTAGACAGAAGGCGGGGCTTCCCTGCCGGCCAAGAGAACATATCAGATGGACAGGGTCTCTTCCCAGGACAGGAAATCATGGACCCTTCCCACTGCCCTGGGAGGAAGCATTCTCTTGCTCTCCCCCCACATCCCTTCCCAGGCAGCCATGAGGGGACAGACAGGATGTGGGGGCGACAGGCAGGTCCTATATTCTCCCTGCCACATTCCCCAGCAAGAATTTCAGCCCCCAACTGGGACTGTTCTGGGCGACGGGGGGAGCCCTGGTCTTGGGATTCAGCTCACCTCCCAGAGGCTGTGGTGGGGGAGGGGCGCTCGGGCCATTCAGAATGGACATGTGGGGACAGCAGACAAGAAAAAGTTCCTCACCTCGATTAGGGAATCCCACACTCACTCAAACACCAGAAGCACCCCACCCCACAGAACTGCCCCATCCCAGGAATGACAAGCCTCTTGGAACACACACGGGGGCAGTCCCCCATCCCTATGCCCCCCGAGGGGTTTGCTCAACATCTGGGCCCCATCTAGACAGATGTTTGGGCTTCTGCAGGCACATAAACAGCTGGTGTTCATTCACCTGGTCCCAGCCTCTTCCCTAGAAAAGGACTCTCCAGGAGGCAGTGTGCAGAGCTGGGGAGGGGGAGGCAAAGAGGAGGAGCAGAAGGCCTGTCCCTTTGCAGGGCTGCGACTTGCTTGGCTCCAAGACGAAAGATGGCGGCATTGTGGGGGGTCGGGGGGAACACTGCTAATGTCAGAGATTGGAGCTGACCTCGAGCTGCCCAGAGACACAGCCGGGAAGCAGGGAGCTGGAAAGCAGAGAGGGTCGGACCACAAGACACTGTGTGCTCTAGCCTACAGCAAACTCTCCTCTGTCCCCAAGGCACGGCAGGCCTCTCAGTCACGTCCCTGAGTCTGCCCACCTCAGTCGCCCTTCTGCCGCTGCACAAATCCCCACACACCTTCCACGCAGTGCTCCACCTCCTCCAGGTTCCGCAGTGTGATGCGCATGAGGCTGGAGTTGAGCATCAGCTCATTCTTGTGGGCTGGCCACAGGTACGGGGGTGCAGGGTTCACAAAGAAGATCCTGGTGTCCCCAGTGGACACCTGGTTGTCACAGATGAGGGGGTCTCCGAAGCCGCCAATCACCACCTTGTTGCCGCCGTCCAGCAGGCTCTCCTGGGTCACCACATCTCTGCCCTTCAAGTACCGCCAGACCCGAACCTGGGGTGGAGGTGGGGGGGCAGGTATCAGTGGTCCTCTTCCCACTGGGGAGAGGGGCTACAGAGCACAGAGACAAACACCAGACTGGGCGCCTTCCCACCTCAGTTGCTCACACCAGATGTCCAGAGTAGATGCAAATCCTGGGCAGAGATGTGCAAAGACTTTTGGGGCAGACCCCCAGGAGGAGGCTGCAGGGAGACACATGCATGGTGGATGCCACTGCCCGGGCGTGTCACACACGAGGACACGCAGCCCTGAACACACCCCTCCCCCACCCCGGGGGTCTAACCGACTCCAGCCACCAAGACTGCAATAATGTCCATCTCAGCTCTGGCTGGATATGAGAAGGGGACCCCCCCCCCCTGGCCTGGGATGCCCACCTTCCACGCCCCCACTCTCCCCATCTGCCCACCTGCTACTCTGGGCTCTAAGCTCAGGGCTCTGGGCCAGCTTGGCTCCTTGCAGCCCTGTGGGCAGGCTGACACCCTCCCCACCAGGAGGTGAAAGACCCCTCCTCCTGCCAGGCTCCTACAGTGAGTGCAGTCAAGGCACCCTACGAACCACAAAATCAAGTTGGGGCAGCACAGGGCGGCCCCACCCTCCACACTCCAGTTCTTGGGGCCCTGAGGGCACCTGCTCTGGCATACCATGCCCTGAGAGCCCACAGCATACCTAGGGGGGCCCAGGAGGGTCAAAGGAGCTGCAGACTGAGCGGGCTGTCCTCAAAGGAACAGGTCCACAGGGACATGCAGCCAGAGGGCATTAGCCCACGAACTCCCTGAGAAGAAGCCCCTTTCTTCAGGAGCTCTGAGGGGCCGGGACTTCTGGAATCAGGGGTGAAAGACAATGGTGGCTGGTCCACCTGCTTGGCCCCTGCTGGGAGCCTCGGTGCAGCATCTGCAGGGACCACCTCCACGCTCCAATGGCCATGGTGGAGCCTGGTCCAACCCCTTCCCCCATCTCCAGACACACACAGTAGGCTCTAGAGGGCCATAACCAGCAGGGGGAGGGCTGGGCGCTTTTCATCGCCTCCCCCCAACCCTAGCCACACCCAGGAGCAGCACGGAGGACGTCGGGAAAATCCTGCAGGGACTTGGCAAAGTGCCCTGGTGGTGGTGGAGGGGAGGGGGCCCGGCAGGGATCCCAGCTGTAGCCTGCACGGGCCTATTAGAAAGAAGCTGCCACCCCTCCCCATCTCCATGGAGGAGGAATGATCCGATTTCTGGTCAGGGAGGTTGTTTTAGGGGCCAGAGGAGGGATGGGCCTTGGGTCCCCTGAGCCCTCCCTAGGAACAGATTGTGGGAAAAAAACCTACCATACCTACCCCAGGGGGCTCCCAGATCCAAAAGAGAGGGGCGGGCAAGCCCCGCCTCCCCGTAGCCCGGGGAGCTCCAGTTCTCCCAGGAGCGGGATGGGGCACCTGCCTCTGCCCACCCCCCCAACTACTTGAGGCTCAGGAACGGCCCCGCCCACTTCTCTGCTCCTGCTCCCACACCCAGTCACTGCAGCACCCCCACCAGGATCCCCGGGGTTGCGAGATTAGATGTGCAGCCCACCCTCTCTCCTGACCACCCCTCTCGCCCTGGTAAAGGCCTCTGGGGAGGGGGCGACAGCACTGACCACAGGCCGAACACCCTAAGCAGAAAGCGTCCCCTTCCCAGGTCCCTATTCCTTTTCTTTGGCTAGTGGGGAGGGGGTGCGGTAGTCATACATTCTCCCTGGGGGGCAGCGCACTTGTTTCCAATAAGAGAGTGGGCTTCGGGTGGAGGGGCAGCCACGATCGGGTCTCCGGGCTGGGCCCCGCGAGGGGGGACTGCAGGGCACCGCAGAACTTCCCCTCGGCGCTCGCCGAGTTTTCCGGGACACGGAGCCCCAGCCGGGGGCTCGGTGCTCGCCAAGGAAGCGGGAGCCGGAGCGGCTGAGCGTCTGGGGCTCGTTCCCACGGCCTGGGGCGGGGGTCACAGCGGGGCGGCCGGCATCTCGAGGGGAGGGCCTCCAGGCTAGGGACCAAATCGCGGGGCAAGAGGCCCCCAGCCCAGGCTTCCAAGAGGGTTCAATGGGGGGCTCAGGGTCCCGGGGGTCCCGGCGGGGGCCCACCTTGCACGAGTACGTGTGCTGCACCGGGTCCACGTTGAGGATCTCCTCCACGGTGCCCGTGAGCACCACGTTCGCTTCCTCCTCCCGCCGCTCCAGCGCGCGCTCCGGGCACGTCCCGTCGGCGCCGGGCAGGGCGCGCGCGGCCACCACTAGGAGCAGCAGCAGCGGCTGCAGCTGGGCCGGGCCGGACGGCCGCAGACTGGCCATGGCGCGGGCCGAGGACGCTGGAGGTGGCCAGAGCAAGCGCGTGGGCCGGGCCGCGCCGGGGACGGGACTGGACAGGACGGGACGCAGCTCCCGGGAGGCGGCGGGAGCGCGGGCGGCGCGAGGGAGGGACGTGGGCGGGACCCTGGGCAGCACCGCCCCCTCTCCGCCCCCCC